GAAGTTGCAAAATTGAAAGAAAGTTAAAAGTGAGAAATTAGCCGTTAGATAAACGTTCTTTTCACAATTTGCAAAATTCGGTCTTCTAGTTTCTCAATATATAAATTAACAAATAATGGTTTGCCTACTTTTTTTTTTTATTTCAAAAATCTTCGAGCCTTGTCATCCCTTTGTCAATTCCGCGGTTTCCGTGCTATTGAACCTTTCCACATTAAAAATTATTGTACATCTGCATTGCTTGCCAATGAAACAATAAACTATATCTCGAACGATTGGGCTCAGCATGCATTCCAAAGTTACGTGAGGATTTTTTTGCGGTCAATAGACTAATTTTTTTTTTAACAAGCAAATTTAATTTTCAGTGAAATTTTTTGATATAGGTACCTACTCACAAATGTCATAATATAATATGTTCATCAAATATATTTAATAGGTGTCAATTTTAGTTTCTGATGGTGGCATACTTTTCTAAAAAGAATGAAATGATAACTTATTGAAACTCAAATTAAACATTAGAAATAATCTGAAGCATAGGTTAAGTACAATCTTTGGGTTGAAACAATCGTGAACATGACCAGTGCATTCGTCCATTATCTTATACTGCCATAATACTAGGTATTGTTTACAATATTTGTTGCGTATGTTCTGAAATATTATTTGTTTACTTCTTTTGCTGTTGGCTGGTTGATAATACAGTAGACGTAATATATTTACCTACGTCTGGGATAATAAGGAATAATTGTTTATGTTGAACAATATCACACAAGCATCATTAATGTTGACCATGCCATGTCGACTGTAATAACAAATAGTTTTTTTTTCTTTAAGTATGCAGATAAAACAAATTTGCTGTAACATGACTTAGGAATTTCACATTACCCTCTATCACATATGAAACCAACGACCTCATCTGTTGACGTTGGGTTTTTCTTGCATAGCACATTCGCTAGATCTTATTTTAACCTGTTAATGCCGCCAAATATTTGCAATTATGGATTTACCAGCCAATAGTTACATAGATAAGTGAAAACTCGTTTTGCTAAACGAATAAATATATCGATTTAGCCACATTTAGTATGTCCAAGAGATTTTTATGACAAGGGTTTATCCGACTTCAAAGGCAGGTTTAGCCAGTTGTTTAGGCATAATTAATAATTTTAGTTTAACGCATAATTTTTGAATATAGTCGACTTAAATCTAATAAAAACTCTTGACTGATTCAAGCTTAGACAATCTTTCATAATACAGTAGCAAGTTGTTGACATGCATACGTGTCACGTGTGGAGTATGTAGAGAAATATTATGCGTCTAATAATAATTCTAGATGGTCTTTACTTACCTATATTTTCCAGTCGTTACCAAAAATAGTTGAATAGAATGGAGAGGTTTACGACAAAAAACCATTATTGTTCGTTTTATGTTAGAATATTGTTATCTATGTCACTGGATTTAAAAATTCGCAGGATCTAGTGAAACATGCATTTTGAACCTGATAACTTGAGAAAACGGTGCTTAATAAGTTAATTTCTAAGTTTAATAGAGTCGTGAGTGCTTCTAAAAACATTGAAGATCGAAAGAGAGAGTACCCATCAATCGATCGATGTAGGATTCCCAGAATTGGTAAAAGTTCCAGGGAAAATGTATATTACAGAAAAGAGTTAACCTGGCGCTACCAATTTAAAAAATAAATAAAAATGTTGCAAATCAAACTCTGAACCTTTTTTTGTATGAAACTTCTCAAACCGGAGCGGTTCAAAATCGTGTCAAGAGCACACGATAAAAATAGCTGACGGGCTTATTGAATCTTGACGCTAGTGTCAATGTGATCTGTAAGGGCTGGGAGATTTGTATCTCTTCAATTGCTGTGACACCAACGGAACAAGATGCCCCCATGCAGCATACTCTATAACAATGACAGAGCGCCACATGTTCTGCCACACATTGGTTCTTACATTGACAGCGTTGTATTTAGACCTAAAACTATTGGGAAAATTCTTCTGCAACTCGACACTGGGAAATCTTGTGGTCCCGACGGCATTCCACCAATTGTTCTCAAACCTTGCACACAAGAATTGGCTTCAGTTCCTTGCTAACTGTTTTCACTCTCTTACAGTCGAAGCGTTTTCCCGTCTATCTGGAAATTTGCCGCAAAGTGCAGTCCATCCCGAAAAAGGGCAAGAAAACTCTTCCTAGCAATTATCGTTCCATATCGCTTATATCCGTGCTTTCGAAAGTAATGCAAAAGGGAGTCAACCTGAAACTGGTTAAATACCACGAAGCCAATAATGCTCATCTCTGACAAACAGTACAGGTTTCGTTCTAAAAGATCAACAGGGGATGTGCTGAAGTACGTGAATCATATTTGAAACTCGACTTTCGAAAAACGTGACGAATCCAGAATTGTAGCATTGGATTTCTCTAAGGCTTCTGATCAGGTGTGGCACAAGAGGTCTCCTCAGCAAACTTCTATCGTATGGTCTTCCGAATGAATTTAGCCATTGGCTGGGAAGCTTTTTGGAAGGCAGTTCACTGCATGTTGTGGTCGAAGGTGTGTCTTCTGATACACTGCCTATAAACGCCAGCGTTCACCAAGGTTCAATTCTGTCCCCAACACTGTTTCTCATTTTTATAAATGATTTGTGAAATGTGACCAGAAACCCAATATACAGCTTTGCGGACAATAGTAGCTTGATGGCATCTTTCTCTTCTGACAAATCGCTTACTTACTTTCACACGCCTCGCCTAAAAACCGATTCACTCTATCAACGATGATCTGGACACCGTTACAAACTGGGGCCTTAACAACCTGGTCAAATTCAATGCTTGCAAAACTCTGGCAACAGTATTCTCAAATAAGGAATCTTTCGCCGATGATAATCCGCAGTTTCGAGGATGTCGGGACAAAACCTTTCTATCAATCCCTCAGTATCTCTTCTTGGGGTAACCGCATCGACGAACTTGTCTTGGCTTGTCCATGTATCTTTGATTGCTAAACAAAACCGCTTCTCAAAAATTAGGTTTTCTCTTCCGTGCACATAGCTTCTTTACTTCCGAACAACTTCTCCTTTATAATGCTCAAATCAGACCATGCATGGAATACCATTCCCACATCTGGAGCGATGCTCCCAAGCATTCGTTGGCTCTATTAGATGCAGTATAAGGAAGACCAATAAAAATTATCGATACCTAATCCAAGTTTCACCGATTCATTGCAATCACTAGAACACAGACGCAAGGTGACCGACTTGTCGTTTTTCTATAGCTATTACCATGGCACATGTTCTGACAATCTGGCCAGCCTCATTCCAGCTAGGAGAAGTTATTTGAGGAACGCAACAACCTCACGGGCATCCCATTCGTATGGCTACCCCGAGGAGCTTCAAGGACCTAGGGCTATTTTTTTTTTGGGGCGTGCCGCCCACCTTTGGAACCCCCTGCCTCCTACTTCATTTCCTGAACGATTTATCTTCAACGTATCCTAAAACTTCCGCTCATGGTACCGCTTAGGTAATATACATTATGGGACACAAAAAACTTCCCACTCAGGTGATATATATTATTATTTATCACCTTAAAACTCCGCAATTTGTGTGGAAAGTTTTTTTTATAGTCCCACAATGTATATATTTGTGAGCCAATAAGTATATAAAAAAAAAAAATTAAAAAATATCCTATTAGTCTATTTTGTGGTGGTCTAGGCTGGAGCTCTGCAAGTAGTAGTCGAACCGATGATGTAGAGCTTGTATAATTATGCTGTTGCTCAATTGATTGCGTTCGTTGGGAAGCTGGTACTTGCGCCACGACTTTTCTGCTGGTATTTTGTCTGTTACTTCTTGTTTAGTTTTTTTTTCTTATATTACTTATTGCGCTTTTTTGATCGGTATTGGTGTGGTCTTTCATAAGAGGTTTAGGTTTCTTCTGGGAGGCATTTTTGCCATACCCTGCCTGCGTTTTTCCAAGGTTTTTTGGATTTTTTTGAGGTTCATCCATCTTGGGATGTCAATCATAAAAGTGGTGAAGAGAGCAAGTAAGCTCAAAGGGGTTCCTTGGAGACCGCCTTATACTATTATCGTTTGTATCGGGTCTTGAAAAAAAAAAACAATCAAAGATTGCTATGGTTTTTTAAACGTTTGTCTTAGCAATATTTTTCTTTAATTTTGTCAATGAGCTTTAATGTCAAAATGTCATGTCAAAAATCCTGACCAATAAAGAAACAGTAATGCAACGTACGTTTTCGTAATCAAAGCAACCTTTGATTTTTTTTTTTTTAAGACCCGTTATTATATCACATTTACGTACGTTTTTCATGGTTAACATCCATGTGATATAAATTTTACATCCACTTGAGCATGACATTATGCTGCCATAAGAATACATTTAAGTTAAATTTTACGTTATTGTGACTCAAAAAAAAATTTTACTAATAAAACATCCGATAGTACTGGGACTTTCGTTTATTATAAGGATAGTTATTAGTGTAAAACATAATATACAATTCAAAAACTAAAGGGAATTTTTTTGTGGCGATATATGTTTTTTTTCTTTAGAACTCACGCCATCTCTTCCAGAAAATCTACCCTTTATCGTATACAACAACATAGAAGTATTGCGATGCAGTACCCCCACGTCGTACGAGCTGCAGCACCATAACCAAGTAGAGACGACTGGCGGTTAACAATGGGTAGGTTTAATTATTTGCTTCAGGGAATGAGCTGAGGCCCGACCAGATCGCCAGAGGTGGTGACTTGATAAGTATGCCCTCGGGTGAGTCTCACACTACTTTTGAAGACGATTAAAAATTACCCATCTTCGAAGGTAGGTATACATTAATTACACTCAAATAGGTAAGTATTTATAAGTTTATGTAATATTTGCAAATATAACATAATCAGTTAACCTAAAATCTAAATTATGTACAAATTAATCTTTCAATTAAATATACTTATTTTAAATAAATTGAATAACATTAGAACATCTATACACAGTATATAATATAATTATTGTGCCTATATTAGAACAAAACTCTCCTATTATAGGAAAGTCGACCAATAAGCGATGTTTAAAATTAGGAACGAAAATGGGAAAAAAAATCTGGAGAATTGATCGATACATAAAGCGATACTTCTTCCATTGCAGAATGTTGGGTACTGCGGTTGACTAGCTGTGCTAAACCGTGGCCTCTCAATACCCTAAAATTAATAACTCAATTTTTATGTAATATAAACACATTAGAACAACATTCGAATATCGAATATGTATATTTTTTCTCTGGCATACTGACAGCGACTAGAAACCCGGTGGATGTAATGATAATGGCTATGTTCTGATAACAACTGCCAGTATTGGATTTACTGTGCTGATTTTACTGTCATTTGCCGTTCCGATTTCAACAGCGTACTTTTGTGGCCATTTAGTACTGAATCGACTGAATCCAGTGTACTGGAAATAATAGATATGGGAACGGCGTCTCCAGTAAAATCAGTACTGACAGTTGATATCGGAATATAGCCAATATAAAGACCTTTGAAATAAAGTTTAACTTTCTTATTTTTGAAAAAAAAAGGTTAAGTATCAAGGCGCCCTTAAAAATCTGCTCCGGGTCCAGTATATTTACATACGAACCTGTTGCAGCAGGGTTTTTGACTGTCGAATTTACCAAACCTAATTACTTATGGTTAGATAGGTATACCATAGTTAATAATTTCTCATTTTACTTGCTATTAATTTTTTTTTTAAATCGTCAAAAATTTAAATCACTTGTTACTATGGCTACCATCACTAACCAATGATTTTGTGTGACTTCATTATTAGCACTCCACTATTCCATTGATGAGACTTTTGTATCAAGTACATCCAAAACGATCCACCCAACCGAAGATCAAGAAGAGGTGGTCATCACACTGGCAGGAGTTGACCGTTTTGGATGCACACCGAAAAATGATGATGCAACAATATACTTACGTTATTATAATAGGTGGCTTTCCTTACCCTGTAGTCATTAATATCCGATGGAAGATCTTCATCAGAATATCCTTTCATAGCTTTAGTTGCAACAGGTCCCATGTAATTGTTAACGACCGCAAATTCCATAAGTGACATAAAGACGAAAACTGAACAACTAGACATCCAAACGTCAATGGCTTTGACATAAGATACAGGGGGTAACGATTGTTGCGATTGAGTATTTTGTGTTGCTAAAAACGCATCTATGTCTATTATTATTAAATATTATTGGAATTTGTTGAATACAACCGCCTGATAGAAATGTCATTTTATTATGGAATAAAGCGTTAGGTACTTGTTTTGATCCAGACGATAATTTACCTAAAGTAAGAAGTGATGTAACCCCCAATGTTACTCTAGCTGGTATAGCTTCAGGTTTTATCCAGAAAGAAATCCAAGACATCACAACAATAAGCGCAGAAGGTATGTAAGTATGAAATAAATGATATCCCAATCTGCGCTTTAAATTAAATACAATAGCCAAACATGTAAAATTCCCTAAAATACGAATTATTATAATTGTAATGAAAATTGCTTCTGTTTACCTGTAGAATATTCAATGGTACAATCTGTGGTATAATTGTTTGAAATATCCAGTTGGGGTAGCTCTATTTCTGGATTCACTACAAGTGGATCCGTCATGTTCCATATGAATACCAAATCGTGGTCTGTATGAGAAACTGCAAATAATTGTAAAATAAAATACCATAATGTTTTTATTCACCAGTGAATATTAAAAATATAAAATGTCTAATTTTCCCAAAAAAGTGAGCATTCAGTACTTAATAGGTATAGACCGTGGTATAAGGATAAGATGCTATGCTCAAGCGCATAAATTTGGACATTGATGACGTAAATAAACCCGTTGGCTATAGTAACAATATCAATGGATTGGGACTGGTTAATTCAGTAGTTGCATACCATTTTATCATCATACCACGTTACAGATTATTGTTATTATTTTGTACTTACGACTTTCTATCATCATGGTACAAATTTGTGTGTCATGAGGATACGATTCGAACTTCATGGCGCAAGATAGGACTAGCGTTAATCTAAAAATATATGAAAAGTCATGCCACTTAAAGACATTCTCAGATAAGATCGTCAAGTGAATGAAGAATGCAGCAAAAAACAAAAAGGGAGCAAACAGCGGCAATTGCTTCTATTAAATATATATTTTTTGAAAATGAACATTTAGTTGAAAAAGAAAGATTGTCTGTTTCACTTATCTAACGCAAAAATTCATATGAAAAAATGGTCAGATAGAAACTTTTATATACGATGGCAGCAGCGTCACAAGTTGCATTAAGTACCATGTCAACAACGGAACTGCTTAAATGAAACTTTGCTACCCTATAAACTTCATCGTTTTTTATTCTGGAGCCGCACACTCTTCCACAGTCTTGGCACACTCAGTCTCTGGCGGCATTGTCTCTTCCTCTGTTCTTTCGCTCCTTCCTGCGGTCCCTCTTTTCAGTCGCGTGTCTGCGCGTCGCTGTTTTTTAAAAGTTTGTGGTCCGTCGTGGACTACTTGACGCCATGAGGGCCTATCATTTGCCGTCGTCTCCCAGTAGCTGATATCGATGCGGTACTTTGCCATATTTTCCTTAAAAAAATCTTTGTAGCGTTTTGCTGGCCTCCTTGATTTCGTTTTCCCTCTTTGAGTTGACCGCAGAGAATTTGTCGTGGAAGACGTGTTTCAGGCATGCAGAGAAGGTGACTTGTCCCGGAAAGTTGGTTCTTAATGATAAGGGCTTCCATGCTAGTTGTCTTGGCCTCCTTTAAAACACTAATATTCGTTTATCGGTCTTGACATTTAGTCCGTAGGATTCTTGTTAGGCATCGTTGGTGGGTGGTATTTTTCTAGGCTTTTTATGTATCTTCTGTAGGTGGTCCATGTTTCGCAGCCATATGTAAGAGTTGGTATTATAACTGCATTTTAGACGCGAAGTTTGGTCTCAGCGCTGATGTCGTGATTGTTGAAGACTTTCTCTAGAAGTTGCCCGAACGTCTCGCTACTACACTTCAAGCAATGTTGGATTTCACGTCAATGGTTGCATTCGCTAACAGATGGCTGCCAAGGTATGGGTAGTGTTCTACGTTCTGCAAGTCTTCAGTAGTCAGTTACAGTCATATTTGGGGCTTGGGGACTAGTATCCGGTGCGAGTTGGTGCAGAATCTGCCTCTTGTTAAAGTTGACCTGTAGGCCGATTCTCCTAATGTCTGGTTGAATGCATTGATAATTGTCTGAAGATCTTCCTCTGTATTGGTCATCACGACGTTATCATCCGCATATTGAAGTTCATTTATGGATGTCGTCGATACTCTCCAGGGTTGGATGAACCCACCGGGATACCGGGAAATTCCCGGTGGGCCGATCGAAGTGTGGGCCGATCTTTAGAACAACAGGATTATCAAGATACCTTCAAACCAAAGTCTGAGATCAAACAGACGGCCTCAATATTATGAAAGCACATAAGAATGGTCAATTCAAATTGAGGCGCATTGAGAAAAGAACAACATGAAAGAAGTATGAAGTGCTAAGAATGTTTGACAATTGGGAAAATACAGAGGACTGGAAGCAAATGACAGTGATGTAATAATTCAAGACTCATTACCCGCAATTCATTCTCATGAAAAAAAGGAGATGTCGCGGCTGTTTTACGGGAGGAATTTAAAGATTTTGGAAGAAAATGGCATGACTCGAAAAGGACGGAGTTGTACGACCTCTCTGGATCCAATGATGGAGATGAAGATAATGAAAATGACATAGGGTTGCATACAGGGAATGAATTAGAACTTAGAAAAGTGTTAATCACATTCACTTTGCAAGCAATCGGTCTGTTTGTTATTTACTTGTAGGATAGGTCAGTGCAGACTGCTGGTGCAGCTAGGTGTAGCTGATGGGCACCAGGTTGAAGAAAAACCACCAAACGCGTTAGTGCAGTTCGTGCAGTGATAGGAGCTGATAATTCTCTAACCTCAAAAAATTATTATTCAAGTAGGTTATAGTGGAAACTAACCGAGAAAAAAATGTGTAATATTAATGAAAATAACAAAATTTACAAGGTTTTATTTTCAGAAATTTTTCGGAGATTCCCTATCTTCCAACCCTGAAGACAGCTTCGTTAAAGTAGTTTTTAAATACTAGGTCTGTTTCTGCAGCAATCACAAACCAGTCAGAGGGAGTTTCATTGGTTGAAAACAGCCAAAAAACTAGTTTGAACCAATGAAATTCACTCTGACTGGTTTGTGATTTCTGCAGAAACAGAGCTACTATGGCCCCCTACCTATTCTGCACTTGTTACACCTCCTCTTGAGCAGGTGTAGGTAGTGCAAGATTGGGCACCTTACACTGAAATAACAAACGCCTCAGTGCAGGAAAGTGTTAATTATTGTGCACTAGTGGAGGATAACAAACAGACCTAATATTTGGTTTGCTGTTTCAATGTTTCGTATAAATACAGATTATACATCCGTGCTAGCAGTCATATTCAAGGCCTTCACCAGTATATCCTTACTTTAGCGTGTTCACAGGTAGGGTGCGAAAAATGCTTTCCAACACTTTTGAAGACATAAAAAATCGGTTGAGGAATCAATCGACTTACAATGGAAAATTTGGATTCGTTGATGATAGTGAACTTACATAACGAAATCTTAGGATTGTTGTCTTTTGAGAAGATTCTTATGGAAATGTTCAACTTAAGCCTCCATTAAAGAAAAAAATATCATATTGATTGTTTGAAAACATCTTCGAAATAAAAAACAAGATAAGAGTTATTTTTAAATTTTCCATTCTGCGTTTTCATAGCATTTTTTTTTTTTTCACTGTCGTTATTATACAAAAGTTCGTCCAACCCTGATACTCTCGTCTTGGCTTGTAATCTGATTACGTTGAATAAGCCGCCATCAAGACTGTACAAGATTTCCACTCCAGACGGCAGGTGACCCTCGACAAGGTGAAATATAAATCCTATAAATAGAGAAAATAAAGTGGGTGCAATAACACAGCCCTGTTTAACGCCTGTAGTTATTTGAAATGACTCTCCTTGTCCATCGTTGGTTAGGACGGTTGCATTCATATTATCATGCAGCACGCGGAGTATCTGAATGTACTTTTGCGGACACCCAACCTTTGCCAATATCCTCCAAAGAGCTTCTCTGACCGAATCAAAGGCTTTCACTTAATCCATGAAGGCCATGTAAAGCGGGCGATTTTGTTTCCTGGATGTTTTTTGCATTTGTCTTGGACTGAAAATCATGCCAGCTGTACCTCGGTTTGGTCCAAAGCCACACTATGTCTCTGGGAGGTTCTCTTCGACAGGTGAGAATAAACGATTTGATAATATCCTGGCAAGTATCTTTCCCGCTATCTAGGTTCCACATTAAGCCCTATTGTTTCCCTTTTTAAAAATGATAAATATGGATTCATCTCTAAGTTCCGCAGGTATGGTCTCAGCAATCCATAGTTTATTAGTTAGGCTGTGGGTTTGGGCACAGTTTGGGACCTCCCTGTTTAAATTTAGCAGGCAGGAATGCTGTCAGTACCAGCTGACTTGTTGTTCTTTAATTGTCTGATTGCCTTTTCAACCTCCTCTAATCTCCGTTGTTGTTGTATTGGTTCCTGTGGAATTTCATTGAAGATGTCATTATAAATTTGTAATTCTCTGTTAAGTAGTTCCTTCTAACGAGAATTAATTGAAGAACTGGCTTCAAGCAGTCTTGTGTCATCTGTGGTTCGAAAGAGTCCTTGAGTGGTTGGTCCGTATACCATCTTAGTAGCCTGAAAGAAGGTCCTGGTGCTATTGGATTCAGCTAGTTGCTGCCTTTCGTCTGGGTGAAAAATAATGCATGACCGGAAAACTTATTCTCATCAGATTTATACAATTTTTATGAAGACAATGTCCAACTCTTAAGATCTTACCTCACTGATAGATTTTTTTAAGATTAACCATTAACCTACCTACTAGCTGACAAGATTGAAAAATATATTTTTTTTAAAGGTCAGCTAAATTCCAAAGTTTCGACAGCACTTGAACAACTATTTGTCAAAATAATAATTTTGTTTAGTCATAAGGTATTTGACTAATTCAACAAAAGATTGTCATTTATTAAATTATAAGCACCAACCGGTAACTACATTAGGTAGGTACTAATCTAAAAATATAACTACAAAGATCGTTTCTTTGTGCCCCTAAGAGACTTCAATCTGTGTCGTGGTTAAACAAAACTAATTATAAAATTTGGAAATTGAATAAGAAAATTAACAACCACGAATGAACAACTTATTTAAGACTATTTCACTTTAGGTATATCATTTTAAACCAATCAAATATGTCACTTATTTTTGACAAAATATTTTGCCGCCAATCTTTCACGTTACTGATTTCATTTATCTTTTCGTTCTCAAACAGAACGAGCTTTTTCTTTTATTTAATATAATTTAATTGTCAATTTTCACTTTTACTTGATTTAACTTCAATTTGATTTACCTATTCATTAAGCGTAGTTCGTATAGATGCGAATCTCGAATCCAAATCCGAATTTCGTTGAAAAAAAATCGGCATTTTCCATCAAAGCAGAGAAACTAAACTACAAGAATTACGATTAGAAAGACTAGACAAAAGAAAAAAATCCTAAATGAATTGGCAAAAGCCGAAACGTACACAAAAGTAGCAGAACAACCGAAGGAGCAGATGACAACAGCATTTTTAAAATAAGCATGCGCTGACATAAGATCCGCAACCAATATCGCAAAATATTAAACCAGTTCCAATTTTCCCGCCTCCTAAATTTAAAATTTTGCAAATTGGCAAAATATTGAACTCTGACAGATGTCACTTTTCTTGACAGTGGACTGACCAATAGGAGAGGCCTTCGCAATTCGTGATTCGCATCTATATAAATTACACTCTAGAATATTGGAGCATGCCTTGCATGAGACAAAATTTTCCCGTATAAAATGTTGCCAGTGATATTGGACGAAAACAACGATATTGAACATTGACGACTCAAATAATTACATTATCATTCCATTAAAACTAAATCGGATTTTCGAACACTCTCTGGTTTTTTTGCATTCCCTTTTCGCCTTCAAAGCATATCTTGGGGTAGGTTCTTATATAGAAAAAATATTTAAAGTACTAATTTAATGGCCAAAAATGTACCAATTATTTTAGCATCTACCTACTTTATGTCAACTTTATAAATTATATAATTGCTAAAGAATCGCTTGCTGACTCTCGTTTACAATTTTATTTGTTTATAATTATTGACCCACATTTTTAAAGGACTCCCAATGATGCGCGTTGAATTAATTAGGTAACTAAAAATATGATTCGGCCTTAACCCTCAAAGAGGCAAACCATTTTAAGAAAAAAATTAACTTATTAATAATACATCAATGTAGTATGTAGTTTCTTCTTACTTGGACATATAAAGCAAGGTTTTATCGTGATAAAGCCAAAGGTAGTGATTTGGTATAGTCATTTCATGGAAAGTGACACTTTTTGCATTCTTAAAGAAGCAATCTGGTCGCCATATGCTATGGAGCCATTCTACATCCAATATTCGATATTCTTCGCTCATATTTTCCGGAAGCCGTAACCTGGAATCTCGCCAACTTTGTGCCAAGAATATATCTGTTACATATGTCTAAAAAAAATTATTTGCATTATCGTTCTATACAAGTTAGAGCACAAGCAGATGTTCCAAGTATAATATTTTGTATACACCTTATTTTTTATTTTTTCATATTTCTGTCAAAATATCTTTATTTGAAATAGGGTTTACCCAAAACCAAGGGTTTTGCTTTGTAAGTAAGGTTTCTCTAAGTTGGTGTGCTTTCGCTCATATTGTACTAACGAGAGCTTGATAAGTTCGAAACAGGTATGCAATTAACGTAGCATCCAAAGGTTCTCTTCATTATATTATAGAGTAAAAGCACACGTGTTGTTTTATTTGGAGCTACAATTCAACAATTGTTTTTCCAAAGAAAATCTTTCTTTAGTTTTATTATCCACCTACGACAATGTCAAAAAGTTTTTGATGATTTTAAAATTTTTACATATCGAATATTCCAGTCAGGGTCAGGGATCCATCAATAAACACGACATACGAGCCTCAAAATGCTATATTATTTTTTTGACATAGGTATGGCTTTTATTTGAAAAATCTTGATCATGCCATATTGACAGCACGGTCAAGATCAACATATTCCGGTCGTATTTATTGACTTCTTTTTTTCTGTAGATTAGGAGTCCCTGAGAAGATAGAGGTTTTTATTTGAAAAAAAAGTTGACCACCCAATGGCCTTGAATGATTTAAGTTAAAATATAACATCATTCAATTTTCTTCTCCCAATACTGAACAAAATTTTATCGAGATATTTGGTTCAAAAATGCATGGTTTCCTACATACATTCTTACTTATAAGGTCGTCTTAAGTTAAATAGACCAGCTGTACCTATATTAGTACTGAATTTCCATCATTCAAATCATTGCGTAACTGGAAGTTCTATTGTCACCATTGTTCCGTATAAAGTCACTCACTGTCTTGAATAATGGTTGTGCCTACTTTATACTTACCATGGATTCCTCATTTATCGAATCAAGTGATAATACCGTCACGTGAAAATAAACTATTGTGGGTTGTCCATGAAACTTTGGTGCTCTGTTTTTATCGTAGTGCTTTGGTCTTAACGGTAGTATATCTCTTAAAGATAAACTTGTCTCTTCTACATAGTCCCGTATTCTAGAATGATTATTAATTAAAAAAAATTATTTCATGAACAAATTATTTGACCAAAGTCCTGATTATATCATCACACCCACAAAAAAAAAAGCTGGTGTCTACAGTGTCAAGGATTCGAGAATCTAAATTAAAAACAATTTGGCATTGACAATAATGAAATTTAAATGGAAAATAGTTCAATGCAATGATGAAAATTTATAGGCTTGCATCCTTGAAACTATACCAGTTTTTTTTTGGGGGCCTACTTTTAAAACGGAATTATGACGCCACGCTGATTTTAAATGCGTGATATCGTTTTTTTTTATGCGTGCCTGAATGTAGGTACATAAGTAACTGCTAGTTTAAATTTTTGCCAATATTTGCGGGTACTTAGTTATGGCGAAAAATGGCACTGCAAAAATAAAAACCGAAAAAACATTAATAATGCAATTAAGCTCGAGACGATGACACATTTTAAGGTCGTTCAATTACCTTTACAAAGATACCGTACAGTCTGTACAATTTAGTTTGTGTTCAAGTAATTTTCGAGAAATCCCTGCAGAAAGGTTAAGAACGTGTTTAAGGTAATGTGAACGCATAGCGAATAATAAATACAAAATTATTAAATTGTTACAAAGTTTATTTTTTAAAATTTTTGCATTCTGCTAGCGTCTTACTTTAACACTATTATTAATTTTCATTTCAATAAAAAAATCGTTCGATTGAAATTCTCAAAAAAATCTTCTTTTACTTTAAAATATATTAGGTAGGGTAGAGATTATATTTTGGGTGCTCTTTCGAAAAATGTCCATGTTGTCCATGTGCATAGACGCAAAGACGCAAAAATTGAAAAAAGAAAAAAAAAAACTTTGAAACGAAAATTTGAATTTTAGACTCAAAAATTCATAATTCTCACGTTTATGATAAACATCGCCACGTTCATAATTAACTTTTTTTTTTGTTTGACTAAAACTTTTAGTTTTCTGTACTAAAGGAATTAGAATGGAGCACTTTGGAGCAAATTTCAAAAATATAAAAAGTCCTTTGAAACGATAAGTTACCTATATTACTGAGTAAGTTGGAAGAAGCTTTCACAGCAAAACTATAAACTCTTTTGAAACCCATTTGTGAGTTTTTCTGTTACTGGCTAAGATTGAAGGAAAGTTTTTATTTTTGGTATGGTTATCGGGTAATGAAAACGCTATTGAAAGTTAAGCAAATTTATTCTCAAATTTATAATAATTGCAGATAAAAATACATACTTTTCTTGACATCTTATTAATTGGCAAGGCAAATTCAAAAATGGTACCCAAATGAATGGAAAACTATTTCACGCGGAGTGGAACCTTTTCACTGTCACATGAATTAAGCTAAAACTTCTTCATCTTGGCTAAAAGCACCAAACATATTATTGATCTAAAAAAACAACGGAAAGAATCTGGCAAATTTATAAGGAATTAAGAAGAAAAATGTACATATGCTTTGTATGAAAAACAATTCACAATTGTATAGGTACCTACTACCTACGCTACATTGAAATTGTTGGAAGATGAGGCTGGCAAGAGACGAAGCAAATATTTCATGCAGCATTCAAGCTTAAAGAGAATTTTGCTTCAAACGAGTTTCGAGTACATATACCTATCAGATTATTGATTGATAAAAGAGAAGTTTTATTTTCGAGGATGGCGTCTTAAATATTTTACAGCTATAAAGCAATATCAACTGCTGACCAGTTGTTGTACAACAGTCAAATTTTCGACTAAATTTTAGATTATCTGCACCGATACCTAGTGAGGGAAAACATCTTCTTTTGGCCAGGTATAGAAGGAGAAATCAATTTCAAAATCGTGAATACTCTGTATGTGTTCTCAAACAGCAAACCGAACAACGCTTGAAAACCCTAAGTAGATCTCTTAGGGCTCCAAAAATTTTAGTAGAGAAATTAGGAGGCGTTTGACACAGAAGAGGACGTTGCGAACCCAAACTAAACCATGCTTAAAATAAGTTATCATAACGCATTTTGAGGACGGGTTGTTACTACTTGTTTGTGCTAGTTGTTTGTTATTCTGGATAGCGCTAGGCTGGTACAAAAGAGCGCGAAAGAAACTGGCTCCATAACAAAAACTACCCGAATAAGCATAGCAAGAGTAGCATCTGAGGACGAGTTAGTTTTGAATGGCGGGCTTGGAACAAGTTCGGGTTATCGAACATGAGTTTGTATTTCTTAATTACATACTTCTGGTGCAGGTCGCGAAAAATAAGCTAGTTTGTTATATAGTTAAAATCTTTTTCAAACCAGACCATTTGAACATTCTCGAACTCGGAACGGAAATCGAACTGCCATATCGAGTGCCATATGGAACCTTCCTGGATTAAATCAAATTCGAAACGGTGCTAAAATCAAAGATTGGAACCCGTAAAAGATAAGTTGTTCTTATTTCTGCAAAAATTGCATCGTTGCTGCCTGCGGCATTTTGTGAGAATAGGTAGGTACCTACCTGAGTTAGCTCTAAAAATAATTATGCAAATTGTACAAATATAGGTAGGTACCTGCATTTCGCTACTGCAGGATTTATATAAGCTTTGTTCCAACACAGCACGATACTGTGCAATCAACCGTCACAATCCTGCGCAAAACCTAAAATTTATGCATAGAAATTCAAAAAAACAGAGTGGTTTCGGAACTATTCTGGGACGGTTTTTCACGTGTTGGAACAAACGAAGAGTAGACCCATAGATTTTTTTCCCATTTACATGAGTAAGTCAAATTACACGGGAATGTGACGAAAAAACATGAAGTAGGTACAGGTTGATTTGTTTACTAAAAAAATACTTACAAAGAATGGCTCGTCATAATTCCCGAAAGGCAAGAATATAAAACAAAAAAAACATTGAGTTTTACATCAAAGCACATTACGTTGGAAATTTTAATCTTAAATAAATGACACATACCGGAGCCTTTAATAATTAATTAAATTATGGCCTAATCTAATTACAGTATTAGTCGTAGGGGATAGAGGTGGTGTTGGTGTGTGCGCTGTTGAGAACTAGAACAAAGGCTTGAGATTTTTACGCCCATTAATAATTTTGCATAGATTGGTTTACAAGGTTTTGGATCTATTTATTTTAGGACTATAGGTATAAGACTTAAATTTATACTTGGACGTGTATTTCACACGTAGGTAGGAAAAATATTGTTATTCAAATATGTACGCGGATTTTTCTTTTCGACCTAACTAAACTTTATTTGAAACCATAACACAAAAATCACGCGGAAATCAGCATTATTACATTTCGTATCACTAAAAATTAGGTCGAACTGTTCACAAAACTACTATGCCTAACTCAACTGATCAGCTTACTATCCGATTAGGTCCAACTTGGCTCGTTTCATGCCACTCCAATTCTTCCCCTTACATTTTCTAGAAAATTCCCGTCTGCAAATTTCCGACAAATAGAATTGATCCCATGACTGATCGACATTGAATTCCATTTTCGGAAATTCTGGTGGACTTCGGATATTATTTTTTTTGTGTGGCTTCACCTACGGTCCCGCGGCTCTGAACCTAACAAGGGTGCAAGTAGGTGTTCCGTCCACAGTCCTACTCCCCACAGTCCCCACCAACCGCAAGGTTAGTAGAAACGGTGTTTCGCATCGTGTGCTCTGAGTGGACGCAATTATCCGAGAATGACCGCTTTCTGCATCGTGCCAGCAAGGTGTTCTACCTTTAGTTCTACCTTATCAGGGCAGACTGGCAAGGTCTTGAGAGCTGAGCAGTATTTGCCGTGCACCCCCGAGAGCTCCAATTACCAAAACAACTAGCTTGACAGTATAGCCCCGGTACATTCGGTGGAGTTCAGAGAGAAGGTCCTGATATTTCGTCCGTTTCTCTTCCTCCTTGGCAATGATGTTCGTCTCGGCAGGAGCCGAAAACTCAATGACATAGGTACATAATTATGAATTATGTCATTTTTGTCAAGGAGTACAAGTACAAGAGTATATCCAGCCGATAACCCTTTTCACGTGGCCCCGGTTTAACAAACCGCAACATACCGCTCAAATTCGAGTGGTAGGTATCCATCACGTCACTTTGTAACCGGGTTAGAAAACGGTATGTCATTTCTCTAACCGTTTTGTAACCCGGTTAGTTGAACCGGAGCCACGTGAAAAGAACTAATGAACTAAACAAACACACTGGAACTGGCAGGCCTTACAACTTGTGTCAGAAACATACCCAACACGCGGCTTCAGTGTTCCAAGCCAGTGTTTCCGATGATTTTAAAAAAATGTTCCCTAGTTACGTAACATCCATAGCAGGGGATCCTCGTCTCTGATTACCCCGCATGCGGCATTTAGGACCAACCGTCGATGTAAACACTCCCAACTTAAGAGTCCATGGCCTCCCTGATAACGTGGGAAGTAAAGCCGTTGGACAGACGCTTTTAGGATGATGGCTTTGGCATCGCGTCATCATCTTACGGATTTTCACGTCGATTCCACGCAACTCATTCACATTCAACTTTATTGAGTAATAGGTAAGTGAGAAGTGGGACGGCAAGCATATTTCTAGTAGCGACTTTGTTCTTTCCAAATAGCTCTGAATTCCAGATTTGTCTCAATTGCTGCTAATACTTGTCGCAGAGAGACCCTTTTATTGCGACACTATCCTGGTTGTGTCCCTGAGGAACACCCAGGTAGGTATCCGTCTCTCCGGCATCCAGCCATCCATCCGATCTGGTATTATTTTTATTATTATTTATCATTATTAATTACATATTATTATGTATTATTGAAAACCATTTATTGTTAAATTGTTACAATTTATGTAATACATACATACTACAGTATCATAGCGCAGTCACAATAAATACCAATTTAGCCCACAAGAGTAGTATCGCGCGTTGGTTGATCAAAAAAGGCATGCAGGATCTAAAAAATGGTTTATCTATGTACGGTAGTTTAAGCCTTACGGGTTGCGACTTTCTATTTTGGGGTATATCCATGCGGTGTGGCATGCGCACAATTTCTTCAAACTTAAAAAAACGGAAATTTTGAAAAATATAAGTACCTAGAGTAGCAATATTACTGGAGTGCATTTTCTTGACGGTGTGATGAACCATGAATCTTCGTTATTTTCCATATCGAAATTTCATAGTTTTAATCAAAGGTAGGCAAAGTTGATCGAAAAGTTAACTTCGTTAACGTTCATTCGCTACTTAGAAAGTTGATAACTTCCGATAATCGGTGATCGTTAAATATTTGATAATATAACGCAGGTTAAAGTTATCCGTTAGGTATATAATAGTCGTAGCGGCAGAATTCAAATACAGCAAAAACGTTTCAAATAATGATAGAAGCAAACCACTTGGTATAGGCGGTCTATATACATAAACAATCGATTTGACCCGCAGCACCTTATTTCAAGTGGCGTCAAACTCAAAATGGCGGCGTATTTCCAAGATTTTGAAAGATGTTTTTTTGTTTTATGTGGAAAATGTTTTCTAATTGGCTCCTATCAGCTGATTGTCAGTCCTGCAGTCATCCGCACTTGTTAAAGCACTCATGATGCATACATCATTTCGGCCTCTAGAACGTACAATAAAATTAAATAATCGATTAGATGCCAGTGCTCTGACCCAGGGTGTTAGCAAGAGTTCTAAATTCAAGAATGCTTTTGTCGAAAAAGTGTATTCGGTAATCGTTATTACAAAGTCATGTTCTGAGCATGCGGTTAGTAAGTGAAGTCCGTTCGAGTTCATTTCTCGCCTCCGGCTCATTTGCTAATATAGGGCTCGTGCGATAAAATGACGTCTTTATGAAACTTGTATTTTAATGTACTATTGTCAAGAAGCAGATGCTTTTATAAAGAATAACTTTTTTTCGTAAAATTGATAATAAAAAAGTGTATCAATCTATGGTATCAAGTGTGTCATACTCCCCTAACTCCCCCTCCATCAAATTTTGGGATACTCGAGGATCAAGAACACCTAATTTCTTCTGTGAGAACAGACCGAAAATCGACTTTCCTACATTTAAAATCGACGAAAAAATTAACTCACTAGCACAGCCTTATTCGCAGGCATTCCATCGAGGTCTGCGGGTGCCGTCATCACGATAAGCTGCGGATAGTGACGTCACTCGCAGGCCTAGGATTTGATGGAAGGGAGTTAGGGGAGTATGACACAATTGACATATCACATAACCCAGCATATTCAGATTATGATTGATTATCCTCGCCAAAAATTGCCTATGGATATTTACAAAATATCGATATATCGTTGCCATCCCTTATTTTGACACATGCTCTTTTCATTTCCGTTGTTGTCAGAAGTGACAGTTGACAGTAGTAGTACCAGTCCAGTAGGGATGCCGCGATACTCAAAAAATATCGATGTTGGTATCGATCCGGATCAATTTTTTTTACACCGATCCATCTTAGTATCGGCTTCCAAAGTATCGATACCTTAAATATCGATCTGAAACTATTGCCTCTTCGACTCTACTAGTAAATATGTCAGTCAGCGACAAGGATGATACACACTTACAGGATTGCTTATCGGCCTCGTTTTTGGTTATCATAACATAACTGGAATAAACTCCCTGCGACGGTTTTCCCTGCAGGTTACAACCTGAACCGTTTCAAGACCAACATACACCGACATTTCCGCGCACTTGCCGCTTCTCGAGCGTGATAGGACATTTCCTTGCGAGTGCGCATAAAAAAAAAAAAAACGAAGTAGTCAGCTCTTAAAACAGCCTACGTTAAGGCGAGGAATAACATGCTGCCTACGTCACAACTGGTGATTCCACACAGGCCCTATGAGGATAGGCCATCCTGTAGTAGTAAAGTGTATCATCCTTGAGTCAGCGACGCGTCAAAATATAAACGTCAATCATGATAAACGTCAATTTCAAACATACAAAAATGGCATTTCTAGAGTGTGTTCGAAATCACCCTGGGCGTCACACCGAGTGCACACCAGCCATGAATAATTCATAGCTGGGCCGAGTTCAGAAATAACGCACAGGGTGCGAGTGCGATTTTATGGGTGTGCCTGAATTGATAATTGGCCATTGGGCCCATAGCACCGTCTAACATTTTTGAACACCTAGGGCGTCGCAGTGATGTGCCTGTAGACAATAGCCGCAATCGAGCTTTAGCGCAACGACGCTTTTGAGCGCGCAATCGAGCTTTAGCGCGCGCAAATGCTTCAAGCGCGTGTTAAGTTGGACTTTGATAAAACAGAAACCGCCAACGACTACATTTTTTACCGGGAGTTGTTTAAATCCCGGGTACCTAGTGCGTCATATGGGTGACGGTATCAAAACTACCGGTAAAAAATGTGTTACCGGTACCGGGATTCTAGACACAGCGTATAAAATATCAGGAAAACCAATAATAAAATAAAGGCAGTGGATAGAGGTCCGAAAATTCGGATCTCTAGTGTTCATACTAAAGATCCGATAATTCTCGGATTTGTATATTAGGGGTCCGAAACTGCGGATCTTTAGTGGTATTATTGAAGATCCGAAAATAGATGTTTATTTCTAATTCTGTCGTAATTAAGGAATATTATAAGATTTCAATAAAATTGATAAAATGCTTGTATTTTTAAGAATTTATACTAGAAAAAATGGATCCTCTAATCCTTTTTATGTAGAATAGCTAATCAAATATTACATAATTAAAAATAAATATTTCTTTATTTTAAGGGTTGATAGGGTAAGAGGTGTGATTTAGTTCCTTCTGCACTGCATGCAAAACCAGGCTTTCTTACTAGAAGGCAGCTTTGTTACTGAACAGCACACTTTATGTTTACACCGAAGACATGAATCACACCGTAAGCAATCTTCATGTATCACTTTGTTATATCACGAATCCATTTTAGAATACTATTTTGTTTTTCTTCAATTCCTTTTTTGTAATAAAACAGAAGAGTCCGGACAAAAATATGTTTCTATTGCTGCTAAATATATTTCTTCTTCAAGAAGAAGTGGATCAATTTGTTGATGTTGAGGAATGTTTTATTTCTCATTTTTAAAGTTTTTATGTAATGCTTTGCTTACCAAATCATCTGTATTTAAAACTACATTAAGCATTATCTGGTGCCTCAGATTAGGAACTTCATTTTTGAATAAAACACTTATTTTTCTTAGACCTTTTTAGTCCAATTGCAGTTAATTGATGTCCCTTGGGTCTTCCTTTATGGGCAAGCTTTAAAGAAAATTTAATACTTTTTATTTTTTCTTCTAATTGGTTTTGTGCAGTAGTATTTGGTTCTTGGGATAGTTCCATTAAAATGGTGTCACAAATATCTACAAAGAATAATACATACCTATTCAAGATAAGTCTGTTTCTGCAGAAATCACAAATTAGTCAGAGCAAATTTCATTGGTTGAAAACAGTCAGAAACAGTCAGAAAACTAGTATCAACCAATGAAATTCACACTGGTTTGTGATTTCTGCAGAAACAGACTCATCTCAAATATTATTCTTGGTAGATACTTGCGACGATTATACAACTCACTGTACATTATTCCCATATGACACGAGAGGCTTAAAAAGTGATAAGCCTTTTGGGATTATCGCGCTTGGTGGTAATATTGTTATTAATAATGATAAAAATTAATAAAGCATTAAAGTTTAGTTCGTTGTATAACCTCTTGAATACTACTCGATGTTTCAGGATTACCTAATACTTTTACCTGACACTCAACGCGTTACCAGTAACACCACTCCTGCTTCGGAGTCGTGGTGTTGCTGTGTAACGCGTTTCGTGCCAGGTAAAATTATTATCCGGTAATCCTGAAACCTCTTGTGGTATTACATTCGATAATACTCCTTAATTAGACAGAATCAGAAATAAACATCTATTTTCGGATCTTCAATATTACCACTAAGAATCCGCATTTTCGGACCCCTAATATACAAATTGAAAATCCGAAAATTATCGGATCTTTTCCTTGCGTTCGGTATTTTGCTCAAAGAGTAGAGCGTGCTGAGCGGAGCCGTAATCACGTGACCAACGAGCAAACAGAGCAGTTGAACGCTGTATCAAAGTGCCCGAAATTTCGATAAACGAACGCATATGAGCCTGCACCGAGTACATTTTTTAAATAAACGGACGGTAAATTCAAGCTCGGAGAACTCAGATCAAAATACCGAACGCACGGTTAGTATGAATACTAGAGATCCGAATTTTCGGACCTCTATCCACTGCCTAAAATAAAAATAAATTAAAAAATGGAAAGTGTGAGGTTAAAATTAAACGTCATTTATATTATTTTACATTGTTGGCACGTTGTCTACATTGGGTGAGTTCGGCTTGCTCACTCCGTGCACTCGGAGTGACTCCATTCGCACTCCAGCCGTTCGGGTTAAGGTTCGGGTATTGCTTTTTACGGTATCAGGGGTGACTCCATTAGCTCTGTTCACTCCACTCCAACTCCGCGCTGAATAGCCGAACTCATCGATTGTCTACATCTACACGTAAAGTAGATAATAAAAGTCTACGTGTAGACGTACATCCCTGGGGCGTCGCACCGGTGTCACACTCACACTGGAGCCGCTTTCCAGTATGCACATTGGCGCGCTCTAGAGCACCTTGGGGGAGCCACGCACTAAATTTGTACCGTTCCAGTATCATGGCGTGAGACGCCTGTCTTAGTGTCAAATTTTAAAAATAATTATCTGTTTGTTTGTGCAGTTTGTTTTTTTATTTATCAAAAATGAAAGAGAATCAAAACTATATATTTTAAAATGTTCAATCTTGAGATATAACAAGATATAAATAGATAAATAGCCACCCGCGGATGTGACAGCTGATAGGTTGACGCGTACGTACAGCTCGGGGGCTCAACGCCCCGAGTAGCTCCGGGCGTCACACTCCCATACTGGAAAGCGGCTTAGGGCGGGTATTATAAAACTACTTTGAGAGTTAACTTAAACTTAACTTCTGAAATTACATGTAATTCAAAAAGTTAACTTTAAGTTAACTGTCAAAGCAGTTTTATAATACCCACCCTTAGTGTCATTCCTGGGGCGAGTTCAGAAATAACCCACCGGGTGTGAGTGCGATATTATGGGTGTCACTGAAATGACAATTCTTAGGCGAGAACTTGCGTATGAATCTCTGAACGCTTGGTGTGACCAATCGAGCATCTCCTCAAAAATTTCACAAAATCTATTAGGATTACTTTTTTTTGTTGTTCATTTTTTTAATTTGAAGCAAAAACTTTAATTCTTATTTGTGTTTTGTTTATATTTGGTGAGATTATTGAGATTATGGGAGGAATGGTTGACATTGTTGACATAAAGACACAATCACACCGCAGCCACACCAAAAAATTATGGTGTGACCGGTGCGACACCTGGAGCGCGCCCAAAGTACTTTCTGAACGGCACAGAGTGCGCGCACTCGGTGTGCCTATAGCATTTATGAACGGCTAGTGCGTCGCACCGGTGTCACACTCACACTGAGAGTCACACTCACACTGAGTGTGTCATTCCTGAACTCGCCCCTGAACTCGTCCCTGGTGTGCACTTGGTGTGACGTCCAGGGTGATTTCGAACACACCCCTAAGGGATTTCATTACTTGTGTTGACTTCCGAACTGAGTGCACGAAAAATTTTACCCACATCTACACTTTGAAAAAAACTGAAGCTGGAAAAACTACATTGGTAAATTATCCGGATCGAAAATATATCGATACGAGCATATTTTGCCGATACATCTCAATAGTTGTATTCCTTTCACACCTAGGAGAAGCTCCGGAACAGCTCCGGGGCTTCACGCGCTTATTCCTTTCGAAAAGTGTTTGTTGCAACACGCATCTGTTCCCTGCAAATCGGGGGCGCCTGAACACCGGAGCGAGTAGAAATACAACTCGAACGGCCGAAGGATCGATACAAAATATCGGGTATCGCCTAAGAAAATATCGATAATATCGCGGCATCCCTACAGTCCAGTCAGTGGATGTTCATTTTTATTTTTGTTTTGATAATAACAAATAACAATAACTAATAACATTAACATAAAGCTTGAAACAACAAACATGAGCTCTGGATATGACAAATTTTTCAAGACGGGAGATTGCCTACTTTTGGAACTAATTAGCAACGACATATTCGAAGGAATCTATGTGGGGGGCGGAAAGGATCGAATCACCATATGTGAAACAGTTCAATACAACAGGAAGCTGGGAGGTATTTACGAGTTCTACAGAAATGAAATATCCAAAGTTTATTACCTTAAAGAATTGGACCTTTCCAAGGAGGAAATTGAAAAAGAAGAGTCCCAACTTGAAGCAAATTATCGATTTGTGAGAGTAAGTGAAAATGAATATTACCGCTTGAAAGAAATGAGCAAAAACTTTATCTATATTGAAAATGCTGATAACGGATATTTTAAAGCAGTTGAAGCTTTAACTGAAGCACGAACAGTTGGAGTTGTTGCTCTTGGCATGACTGAAAAACGTTCAGAAATCATAGAGTTACTGGTATTGTGTACTTGGAAACAAGTTTACATTTTTGATCTAGCCAATGTCCAAAGCCAACAATTGTACCCAGAATTGAAAGAAATTTTCGAATCAGAATATGTATGCAAAGTTATTCACAAAAGTGGTGGTTTGGTAGATATCCTTCGTAGATACTACAATGTTAACATGCAAAATATATTTGACACTCAAATTGTGGACTTGATCTTTCAAAAAAAGGAAACATCTGCGAGTCCAACTAACGGAAGGGACATTTCTGAATGCTTAGAACATTACTTACATTTCCCCAAGTCATTATTGTACAATGCATCCAGTGTGTCCAATAAACAATGGAAGGAAAAGCCTTTAAGTGAGAAAATGAAATTTTATGCTTCTCAACTTTCAACCTATCTGCTTTTGTTGAAAACCAATTTTGAAAACTCAATGTTGGAACATGTTTACAATACAATTGAGAATGTTCTAGATAGAGTCTATGATATGGAGGATTTCAAGTTTTTCAGTTACAGTACTAAGAAAGAAGTACCAAAAGAAATCCAGAAATTGATACCTAATTTAGCTGAATTGACTGTTAAATGTAAACATTCAAAAAATTCAGCTATTGATAAGGAGTAACAGCATAAATCATTCACATAGAATTTGAAACTACTGTTGTTAATTTTTTGTTCGAGTTTAATTAAAGGATGTAATGGGAGGAGATGCCACAGTATTAGGTTTGATTTATAAACTTTAAGTCATAGTTTAGTTTTGCGTTATTGTCAGAGATGACCTTTGTTTTCATTCTTCTGTTAAATTCTGTAGTTCCTAAGTGGGTGTGAGGTGAGTAGATATATGGATAATAATAATGTGTTTTCTATTTTTCTACATTTCAGTACCTACTCCCTACTCCAATAACTCAACTCATATCTTTAAGTCTCTATAAAGCTGTAAAATTTGCCTTTTCTAGGCATGAGTTAAGAATAATGTAGAAAGTATATTATTTTATTGAGTGAAAAAATTCTTATTTATTGTAATTGATCCTCTGCTGAGGACTTTCGAAGGACCACCCTTTATTATAGGTCAAAGGGAACCCAAACACATTAACGAGAATTAATACTTTAATTGATTAACCATTTATTGCGGTACAAAACGAATTTTTAATTGATTATTAGTCAAACAATAACAACGTGATGTCGTGACATGCTCTCGAATCCGTCTCTTCTTATTGGTCGCGCCGAGCGATCCTATTGGTCGCGCTGAGCGATCCTATTGGTCGCTTGCCGTTCTTCCTGCAGCTGTTCTTGCGCGTTGCCAGATCCTTTTGAGTTGCTAGGTTTATTACGGCGTTGCCATGTTTAAGAATGTTGCTACACTTTTGTTCAATATAACAGTCTGATATAAGAAATTTGATTTGAATGTTCAAATAGATTTGAATGTCCAAACAGTAATGTATTTAATAATGTGCATTTTTGTTGCTTGGCTATGAACACTTGAGACTGCTGAATCACAAACACTGTAGATATGAGATAATTAGTTATAAGGTTTCTTATCAATTATGCGCGTGATCATGTTAATTCATGTGCCTTGGATATTTAGCAAAATATATGGTATAGTACCTATTATGAATCTAGTTTTTCATTCATTTCATTTCATCATTAGCCTTTTGTCACAGGACTCACACGGACCTTTTTATCAAAGCAACATGCTACATGAATGTAGTGGATCTGTTTGCTGATCTAAGTATACCTACGTTTCCAGATATAAGCGTTGGAACTGTTGGAAGATGGATTTTTTTGCGAAAAATTGCCCTGTAACAATATTTCTAAAGTTGCGATGACGAATAAACATTTGTGAGTGACGTAAAATATGATGACCTGTCCTGTCATTTTAACTGATGATCATAGGAATATTTGGTTGAGGTTTTGTTTGGGATTGGATCGAAACAAACCAATAGAAGTCTGTTATTTCACATTGTCAACGTTTCGCAATATTATTGCATCTTCAGGACACTACAAAAAGGTAAGACAATGTTAATCTATAGAGCCCTTACAACTCGAGTTATGCTTATAGTATGGCTACTTACATTTCAGATTGACTTTTCTATTTCTTTCTAACAAAGTTAGTAACTATGTTGATATGTTGATTTCTGATTTGTATCTTAATGTCATCATCAAACATTTCTAAAATGCATTCAACATCAACAATAAGCTCTTTAATAGGGTATTCATTATTTTTAAATATTAAAACATTTCTACACTCACAAGCTGTAAATCGTACAAGATATAAGGTCTGTTTCTGCAGAAATCACAAACAGACAGAGCGAATTTCATTGGTTGAAACCAGTCAGAAACAGTTAAAAAACTAGTTTCAACCAATGAAATTCTTTCTGACTGGTTTGTGATTTCTGCAGAAACAGACCTATTGTCTCGAGTCATGGATTTTGAGAAAATCTACTTCGAAAATTTTCAAAAAAATTTCAACTTCAATGCTTTAGAGTTCGAAACGGTGTCTATTTTCAAAAAAGTTAAGCGAACTTCTTTGTAGTCTTCTTTTTGTCATTTTTTTTTTGCTCTAAATTGCGGTTTTTGATGTGTGTAAACTATTTATTTTTTAGAAAATGCGATATGCATTGTAGTTTGTTGTAGAAGCCGTTCTTATTGTAATAAAGTCTCGTTTTATGTCTGGACAAAACACAGGTTTTTCAACGTAGAAAAAGGATTTGTGTGTAGTCTGTAGGTTTTTTTCATGGTCATCCGCAAAAAGGCAGAGCTACCCAAGTTTTTTGGTCAGTTTGGGTTACTTTTTCATATAAGAGCTGTTTTCTCACTTTCACTTTTTTGAAACTGGTTCAAAAACAGTTTTGAAACTATATTCTCGCCATGAACCCATGACGTCACATCAAAATTGGTTCAAACCGTTGGTTCTGGTCTGTTTCTGCAGAAATCACAAACCGGTCACGGCGAATTTCATTGGTTGAAAACAGTCAGAAAACTAGTTTCAACCTTTCAACCAATGAAATTTCACTCTGACTGGTTTGTGTTTTCTGCAGAAGTAGACCTATATTATATTGAAAACGCCGCCATATTCTTCCTTTCTTCTTGCTGATTTCAAATATGAATATATAGGATTTACCTCGGGATTTACCTCGGGATTTACCCCGGGATTTACCCTAAGATCCATCATAAAGAATTGAAAATAACGTATTTGATGTCCCTAAAAATAGTCGTCAAATACGTTGTTCGTTTTTTTATGATAGTTAAATCCTATACAATATGCATATTTAAAATTAGCAACAAGTAAGGAAGATTATGGCGGCCGGCGGGAGACCTCTCTGGCACCACTTATGTTATACTCCAAGGAAATTAGACTTCCTCTGCGGAATGAGGCCGAACAATAAGCTGAATTTTTGCAGAGACCTTCGGTTTGATTTTCTAATGAAGCACAAAAAAAATTCAGATGCCTACCCTTGTGCGTCTTGAGAAATCGTAGGTCAAAGGTCATGAAAATCGGGTTTTCGCGAAAATCTCGCTACCAGTGCATCTGACGTCCAAGAACCCAATACAAGACTTACGTAAAATAGTATTCTCTACAAAATTTCTCTTATAAATTTTTTTCGTGCGACTAACCGTTTTCTAGATATAGCATGATAAACCGGGAGCGCGCATTCAAAATTATACAATGGTATTAGGTACTACTTATTAATCTGTTAGGTAGTCTAGAAAATAGGACTTTCAAGACGTCATATAACAGGTATTTTTGTGATCATTTTGACAAGGTATTAGAGTCACTTCAATGACTTTCAGCTTGAGCGGCGTATAAATTTTATACTCCGGCGGACTATAACATTTATATGCCGTTGTACATATTTTCCCATAGCGATTTCAGGTAGTTCACCTGTACATACAGGTATAAGTGCTTATAATGGTGATCTTTCTAAATATGAATGATGAAAGTCATAATTTAAATTGGAAATTGGGCACTTTTTGGAATAAAGGTCGTTTGAAAATAAAATATTGTATTTCATTCGGAGTATAAAGTATTCTTCATGTGACTTGCATGGATTTGATCGGCGTTCAAACTTCCATGCGCGTCACATAAGTATTACCATTGTATTACTTATACTCCTAAGCCGCATTCTTTCGGACCGGATCACTCGATCAAAACGCGTTATGTTCCACTAATCACGTTTTTTTGCATTAATATTTGACAGTTAGCGAATCATGATCCGATAAATTCTGAACAAACTGAACATTTTTTTTTTGTGATTAGTTTGTTCCGATCACGAAAATCTGGACAGCGTTCTTTCGGACATCAAAAATAAAACATGTTCCAATTGAACAAACGGATCTGGATATCGGAATCATGATTCAAATATATTGCGAAAGAATGCTGCTCTAATAAAATAAATATCTATTATTTATAATAAGATATCAATTATTTTAAATTCGCGCTCGCGCTTTATCACGCTATATCTCGAAAACAGTTTGTCGTCCGAAAAAAATGTGTATGAGCAATAATGTAGAAATACTATTTTACGTAAGTTTTGTTCTGGGGGTTCTTTGACGTCAGATGCACTGGAAGCGAGATTTTCGCGCAAAACCGATTTTCATGAGCTTGTTCGGCCTTTTGGTCTTATTTCCCTGGGGTATTAGGGTATTTATGGCCGTTTCCACCAACTATTTTAGGAAAGCCTTAACGATAAGTATTCCCTAAACTGACACTTCTCCATGTAAAAATAGAGACTTTTTGCACCTCTTATTCCAGCCATTCCGCTGTGGTTATCGTTATACCCAGTATGCGCAGTAGCAAAAAAATGTTCGTTGTACTTATCAATCACAACGAGCGGCGTTATTTAA